AGCATTTCCCTCCTCTGCCAGGTCTGGCACTTAGAAATCCTACCTTCTCACTATTAATTCTGTTGTCTGATGACAGAGATCCTATTTTCAGGTTATGGTTAGGCTGTGAATACTTCCTCTGGGATCCACAACGTCCCTGTCTTTGTTGTTTTCCTAATCTGGAGAAGATCAGCACAGTATGAACTGGTGGTTGGTTTGGTTAATCAAAAAAGTTAAGGGGCAAATTGTAAAAAGAATATATATACATACCTTAAACCTTTTAACTTAAACCTGTATGTATTCATTTGCCAATGTTTTGAGGATTGACCAAGGTCTTTTTCTGGTTGGATGAGAAGTGTCACGTGTAAGAGTGTATTACGTTAAGATAAAATTATGTTGGGGAAGTGGAATGAAAATCAAAGTGCAAGGAGAAGAGGGAACAGTGTAAAAGTCCTGACTGTTAAGAAGGATTTGTTTCTATATTTTTTAAGTTGATGATCGTGTGTATCAATTTGTCCTGGTATTTAGATTTATTGGGTATGATTAAAAGATGTGACAGTTTGTTTTAAAATGATAGTATTTACAACTTTCCAGAAATTACATTTAAAGTTGTGATGAAGAACTGGGAAAGCAACTTAAAAATACAAGGAGATACATAGTTTTTTTTTTTTCACAATTTACTTTAGCAGGAACATGAACAAGAAAGTTTGAAGACCTCTAGTGCATATAAGATCAGCTGGAGTACTTGTTAAAATGCAGATATTAGAGCCCATCTGTGCATCTAGCTTTATGCAGACGTGTAACAAAACCTTTGCAGGTAATAACCTCAGGAACAACTAGCATAGCCTAATTTGAGAAGAGCTGAGAGGTTTGCCTCTTAGAAGAAACATGAAGAGAACTAGCATTTGTTGATTGCCTGGTGCCCATTCCCTTCAGCCCCTCCTTTAAAACCATGGTTCTCAGCCTTGCCTGATAAGAATTACTTAGCAGTGTTTTCCAAACTGCTAGTCAAATCCCATGAGTGAGTTGCCAGAAGATTTTTTTTTTAATGAAGTGGAATGGATTGAAATATATCAGAATGCAAAACAAACCTTTGTATGTACATTGTGTGTATGCTTCTGTGTGGATCTGTATACGTGTGTACAGGATTGCAATGTAAAATTTATTGCTTGCTTTCAAAATAGTTTAAAATTCACTGACCTACAGTGCTTTTCAAAAATACAGATTCCAAGTTGACCCACCTAAGTGATTATTGTCAGACAAGTTGTGAAGTATTGCTTCAAGAGATGTAAACCCTGAACCATCTGAAAAACTTGATTTCTCTCCATAGTAGCAAATTTCCTAAAGATTCCATAGAGGCTATCATCTTTTTTATTCATCTAAAAAACCTATTTGGAGAAAACACATGGAATGTGATCTAGGAAATTCAGAAAACAGACAAAACTTATTAGAGCTTTGCTTATGTCATTTTTTTAAAACTTATTTTTCTTTATTTATATAAATAAACTGTATTTGCTCATTTGATGACTATACTGTTAGCTAAGTGGTACACACAGATATGCTAGAGTTACTATGAATGCTCTTTCCCCAAATTTAAAAACATTAGAATTATCTGCAGTTTAAGCAAGATGTATGTCTAATTTCAATGCAGACACATAGTAAGCATTTATATAGAGCCCTGGTGGCGTAGTGGTTAAGAGCTCAGCTGCGAACCAAAAGGTTGGCAGTTCGAGTCCACCAGCTGCTCCTTGGAAACCCTATGGGGCTGGAATAGACTGGACAGCAACAGGTTTTTTGTTTTTTGTTTTTTTTAAAGTATATATTGAATGTCTGGAGACAAGAAAATAAGTTTTATAACTTAACATGTTATCTGTGAAATTTTTAGTTTTTAATGAGGTACTTAATCTTAAATTTATTTTAGGCCTTGTCTGAAAGTGTTACATCTATCCAGGGTGGTTGTATAGGGACAGATGGCTATGATGAAATCGTGGTGTCCACATATTCAGGTAAGGTGAATGGTAACAGGTAGTTGTGAGAAAGAACCAATAAAAAAAGATGTAGATTTTATAAACTGCTTTTGATGACTACTATTTAAAAAGTGTTACTCATAAATCACTTTTACCTGTAGCATTAAAATCTTTATTTAGTAAAAAATAAGGAGGGAAGTTTGGGCAGGTCAGTTTATAAAAGAGTTAATACTTGAGGAATACTTTTTAAGAGTTCCTGGCATGTGTGTAGTATCTCTGAAAATAAAATGAAATTCTTTCCTTTAAAGAGGGATATTTACTGAAATTAAGTTTATATTTTATACTGTGCATTTCTTATAAAAAACTTGCTTGCTTTTTGAGTAGGTCATTTTTGCATCCTCACAATAGTCATGTGAGAGTTTAAATTTCCATGGAAATAATTTTTGGAAGGGAATTCTGATATGCCAGTTATTTTTTAATTTGCTAGAATGTGGTAACCTATTCCATACTTGAAAATGAAAACAGTAAGTTAAAAAGTGAAAGGCTTACTTAGACACGTTATAGTATTTAAGGCAAAAAACAATACAGTAAAACCTGCGAAAGCCAGAACCTGTGTAAGGCGGAAACCTGTTAGAGAAGGAAAACTCTACTATTTTCCACTAATAGTGATATAAAAGTTGCAACACTGCACCCTGTCAAAGGCAAAAAACTTGCAAGACCTGGAAAAAACAAGGCAGTCCCATCGATTTCCGGCTCTCACAGGTTTCAGTGTATCACGGAATGCTAAAACGGTATCTTTATGGTTTGAATGTTTGCCAGCCTGAAGTTTTCTTTTTTTTAGAAGACTGGAATAAGGTCTTAGGATGAGTGAGGTTACTGTAGGTGGATAAAGGGGTGTGCATAATGGAGCTTCCGCTATACCATGTATACTACATCTCTTGATAACACTAGCAACACTAAATGGTGCATGATTGTAATTCATCTCTCCAGGCTGGGTCACAGGTCTGACAACCGAGCCTGTTCATAAGGAAAGTGGACCAGGAGAAGAACTGAAAATTAATCAGGAGATGCAGAATAAAATTTCTTCTTTACGGTAACTTGGGGGTTTTTGTCCCCCCTCCCCCCCCCCGCCTGCACCCCATTTCATAAAGTGTGTTGTTGTTCTTATTTATTACTTATATATGCAGTATTTTTTATTGGAAGGAATGGTACCATTAATTAGCATATCACCTTTAAAATGAAAGTATATCAGTTTAAGAAAATTAGCATTGAGTGCTGATTACTATTTTGGAAATAGACTTTTTGTATGCTCTGTTCTGTTAATGACTTTCTTAGATCAAGGATTGTATTTTTTCATTTGTTTAGCCTAGGTAGTTGCAATGTATTTTTTTCACAGACATCAGAAAGAAGCCAACACAAATGGCTCTATTCCTAATTAATTCTAGTGTTCACTGCTCCTGTGGATTCTTTGGACTCTGTAACTTTGGCTTCTAAGTTTTCTGACTGGAACTGAATACTGTTGACTTCCTCTGACACGGGTTGCTTGCATGACCTGCCCAGTTTCACAGGTCCTGTGATACGGGACTCAGTCTCATGTTAAGTTGCTTCATATGATGAAGACGCATGAGCTGCTGAAGCTTTTAATGCTTGTTTTCTCCCCTTTGATCCTTCCTAATTTTGCGAGGGTAGGAGGCGTGATCTTTTTTGGTGGTAGTTGAGGGCTATAGAAGTTTTCAAGGCAGCAGAATATCAGCTGTACTAGCCAAGCCAGTTCACCAAAGCCACCAGGAGAGCAAGTGCTTATCTAATGTTCATGCAGTGAGGATACCAGATTCATGCAGGGATATCCTAGTTCATGCCACAGGGATACCAAATAAGTCTAGTGACTACCATCCCACATCTTCCGTAAATACCTCTTACTGAACCTAGTCAACCCCCTCCTGATTCTACTGTATTGTTCAGTCAGCGCCTAGAACACTGCTAGGTGTTCCTAGAACTCAGTAAATATTTCCTGAATGAATAAGTCTTATCCTTTGTTGATTGCACAGATCCGTTCCAGGCTCCTCCCTAGACTTTTCCTCCCCAAAGGAGGGCTATGTAAGCTGCATGTCGTTCTACCTCAGTTATCATTTATGTCATTTGCACATGGCTTTTCTCACTGAAGGAATCCTTTAACCAGAGCTGCTGTAAGCTGTGCCTGTGCAGTTCAATCTCAGCAGACTCTTCTCCAATACGTGGTGGAACTTTAGCTGTGCCACTGGCTCATATCACCCTTGTCCTCAAAACATTAATGCTCTGCAGCCTCCTCCTCCTTATTTGTTTGTCCCCCCTAATGTCTTACTGATAGGCTTCACACATTTGGTTTCTTCTGTTTCTCTGCCCCACTATAGTCATTTTCCATTCTGAGTAGTACTACATGCAACTGTGAGCAGTAACCAGATTCCTGTGTTTGAACTGATTATTTCCAGCCTACCTTGATACTTACAATTCTTTTTCAATATTGCTGATATGGGACTGAATAGATGTTTTAATTTTTACATTAGGTTAACTAGTGTAGAATCCTTTGGTCATTGATAGAAGCAAAATTTTTGTTCCTATTGATGTTACAGTTCTAGCTCAAACAATAAACTATTTTGCAGAAGTAAATGACTCAAATTTGTAAACATTTTTAGGACCTCAAATGTTTATACTATCAGTGACAAAACTATGTGTATTTTCCTCTAGGAGTGAGTTGGAACATCTGCAGTATAAGGTGCTGCAGGAAAGAGAGAAGTATCAACAGTCTTCTCAGTCAAGCAAAGCAAAATCAGCAGTACCTTCATTTAGTGTAAATGACAAATTTATACTAAATAAAGATGATGCCAGCTACAGCCTTATTTTAGAGGTGCAGACAGCAATAGATAATGTCTTAATACAGGTAAACAAAATGTTTAATTTCTTAGGTAAAGGACTTTTAGCTAATTGAGTATAATATATGTTTTATGACTAGATCTATTTTGCCAACTAATATGCACTAATTATTATTGAACACATAGTTTTAAACAGTAATTTTAAATGTAATAGCTTATTTATTTCCATAAGATAATCACTTTGATCATAGATTATTTAAATTATATCTTTACTTTGTATTTCTCTTATGCTTATTAAATGAACAAAAAACAGATGGAGTTAAACTTTAAGGAATGTCTGAAAGGAGAAACTAGTAAGGATTTTCTTCTTTGGCTGCCCTCTGAGAGAGTCTCAACAGAGTTGTGACTTAGAGAACTCCAGTGTTTAATGCCCTTATTAGAACTTGTTCTAAGCTCCAAATTCTAAAATGGTAGCTTATATTACAGCTTATTCATTAACCCGCCAGTTTCTAAGTGGGTCAGTAGACAAAGTAGATAATCCTAAAGGGTGAAATTTAGGAATAATAACGTATAACTCCATTCATCAATATGTTTATTTTTTCTTTAAATTGGAAGAGATTTAGGGAGTTGAAAAGGATGATAGTAGGATGAATGGAAAACAAGCAAAAGATGGAAAACTAACCAGAAAATGATTAAAAAACAGAGGAGGAGGGAGACAAATTTTTGAAAGATGTTGGGGTAAGATCAGATGATTATTTAAAATTTAAAGGTAAAAATCTCTCTTAAGGAATGCTGCGGGCTGCTGCACTGAACAGCTGAGGGCACTGTTAACAGAGACACAGTACAACAGCCCTGTCCTGGCAGCTAGTTCTCTAGAAAAAAAACTGTCTTCTTTTTGTGTTACAGGTGGAATTAAAATTGATAAAAATAAACTGATGTAATAAGAATGGCCACACAATGATTTACAGCTGATGGTAACACTTTTAGCATTGACAAAAACAGGAAGATTATACTTTTAAGTGGGTGTTGAGAGATGATATTCTGTGATCTCTTATTATCCAGATTAGAAAAAAATAGATGATTGTAAAAAAACATCTATCCTTTATTTATTTTCTGGAAGCACATACTATTCAATATAAATTAAGGGAATTTATACTCTCAGATTTGAAGATGAACATAAAGTGGAACTAAGTATAACCCCTAGAGAAAGTATATTTTGCAAAAAGTTTTAGGTTTTCCATCTCAACTTTTTTTTTTTTTTCAATTTTGACTGTAGAGTGATGTTCCAATAGATTTGCTTGATGTGGATAAAAATTCTGCTGTTGTCAGCTTTAGCAGCTGTGATTCGGAGGTGAGTAAAACAGCAATATAAAGAATTATTTAGATGCTTTAATTTTTATTATGCTATTTGATTAAAGCCTATAAATGCTATTAGACTTTGATATTTTGTCTTCAGTCTTTCCTTTCATAATCTTTCTATCAAAATCTGCTTCTTCTCTCCTCCCTGTCGTTAGATAATCGAGAAACCTTGGTGTTGTCCTAGATTTTTCCACTATCATCTTCTATATCCAGTGAGTCACCAGGTTTTGTCAGCTCTGTCTCTGTGGCTCTCATACCTCTACTCTGTTTCATTCCCACTTCTATTAACTTAGTCCAGGCCCTCATAATCTCTTGAACTACTACTCTAACTAGTTTCTCTGCCTGCAGTCTTGCCTCCTACCTCCAGGCTGTGCTGTACACTGCCACCAGAGAGATCTTCCTAACATACATCACTGCGTCGTTTCTTTTCTCAAAACCTTTGGAAGATTCCTTATTTCCTGCAGGATGTAAGGCTCAGTTCCTCATTGTGGCATAGAAAACTTTCCATGATTTAGCTCTTGATTACATCTCTGCCTTCTCTCTCACCAGCTCTTACCTCCTGTCCCTATTTCTGCCAAACTGAAGGTCTTAAAATTACTTGAAAATGATAATAGCTTCACGTATCTTTGCATTTGAGCACGATTTATTTCACTTGTCTGTTCTTCCCAGTCCTCCTTACTTTTTCTGGACTTGTTGAATGCCTACTTAACCTTCATTTTGCAGATATTTGTTGAGCACTTACTATATAGAAAGCACCTGTGACACTATCATGCCTGTGCTTTGGGCATGCTTACTACATTCACTTCTTTATGCTTAGAAGGAGAAGACTAGCAGTCTCAGAGCTAGGTGTGGCTACTAAAGAGAAGTCAGGGTGAAAATAGGTTCTAGATTAGCTGCTTGGAGAAGGCAAGCCAGAACAAAAGGAGACAGTAACTAGAGTTGCAGGTAGTTACAGATTTAAAAAAAAGGATGGAATAAAAAGAGTAGATAAAGAAAAAAGTTGGTAATGATATTGGAGAATAATTTTCAGCATAATTTCATAGTAGAGGTTTTCTTCTTGATAAGCAATTTTAGAACAGTTCTATTATAGTTTATCATCCCTGTTTGAGAACAAAATATAAAAAATTAGGATCTGTGTTTTTATGACCACTTAAAAAAGCAAGTTAACATAAAGTCTTAAATCCTATATTACTATGAAAAAGTAGCCTGTTTTACTCATACTACTACAAGATTATTTGAAATGAGCATTTTATACTAATTTAAACTCTATTTTCCTGGCTTTTTTTTTTTTCAATTTACAGAGATTTTTCAAGTATACACAAAATGAGAAAGAATAGTATAATAACCTCCATGTACTCATTACTTACTTCAGCATATGGCCAGTCTTGTTTTATTCTCTTTACTCTCCCCCTACCCCCCAGAGCTAGATTATTTTAAAGCTAATCTGAGACATTTTCTCTCTTTTAATCTGTATCATTTCATCCATAAATGTCATTATATAACGTTTGTTTTTAATCACTCGAGTAAATTTATTTTTTAAGTCGACTGATCCTGTGTTTACTAAGTGTAAATGATTTAAATTTTCTTTTTGGTTTTAGCATCCTTTATATTTCTTTACTTATTTCATAAAAATAGGGAAATAGCAATACATGAAAATTGCATGTTTCATATTGCTTTGCCTCTTTTTGTGATTTATGCATCCATATATATATTTTTTCATTTTTAGTAGTTTAATATTCAATTTCAAGAAGTTATAGTATTTGAAGTAACATCTTCAATTTAATTCAACAAACATAGAGTGCCTACAGTATGCCAGGCACTGTGATATTTGCTGGGGATACAGAGATATTTCTCAGTCCTCTATAAATACTTGTGAAAATGAAAGACATTCAACATCAAACATTATTGTACATGTCTGTATTATATAAATATTAGGAGTTTGCATTGACAGTTAAATTTTTAGAAGAACTCTTAATGTTTAAAAATATTATTGTAGAGAGTCAAGGTAGAAAGAGCTTTAAGCTTTAAGAGTCTTAAAGATCTGAATTTGAATTCTCCTTTCATCATTTACAAGCTATAGGAAAGTTACCTAACCTCTCATAGCCTCAGTTTCTTCATATGTTAGAACTTATTAGTAAAACTTGACTGCATGGAATTGTTGGTGGGAATAAATGAGAACATGTTTGAAAAGCACTTAGCACAGTGCCACTCAAATGGTGAGTGCTCAGTGAATGGTAACCATCATTATTATTGATGCTGTTTTCATTAAAAACATGGATTCATTTTTCTCCTTAACTTTTAATCTTCCCAGTCAAATGACAACTTCCTTCTCGCCACTTATCGGTGCCAAGCAAATACCACAAGGCTGGAACTCAAGGTAAAAATGTTAGAAATTACCTTCACTTGAATGTTTGAACTTTTTTTTTCTTTACTACATCTTGCAACATCTGACATAATTTCTTTGCTTGGAATTTCTCTCTGAAATGAGTCATATTGGAGAAATGAATTTGAATTACTTGTTAGTTTTAATTTAGTCCAAACCACTATCTATTATTAGCACTCAGTCAATCACCTTGTCTAAAATTGTACATTTTAAAGTTTCCTCTAACTAAAAATTTTTTTATAATTTTCTGCTATGGAAACTTTCAAACATAAAGTAGTGAATCTCCATGTAATTATCACTCAACTTGATCAATACTCATGGCCAATCTTATTTATGCTATCACTCCCACTGAAAATTATTTTAAAGCAAATATAAAATATAATTTCATTAATAAATATTTCAGTATGTCTCGCTAAAAGATAAGTACTTTTTAAAACATAATCATACTACTGTTATCACCTTAAGAAAAAAATAAGATTAATTCTTTAATATCATCAGATATTCAGTATTCAAATTCCACTGGTTTTGTTTTTATGCAATTATGGTTCTAATAAGGTAACTTAGTTATTAAAGTGTCTGGTCCATTTGCCTTATAATTTCCTACAGTCTCTTTTGCTGATTGCATTCCAGTGATGTCATTTATCATCATCTATTGTAGAGAAAACCTTTTAAACTTTAGTAATATCGTTTTTACAGTTAAGTATTGAGCCTAGCATATGTCTATTTTAATTATTTAATTCGTAGTGTGAGATTTTTTTTAATTTTTATTTTTAATACACCTATGATGTAAGAATGAAGAACTGTAACTTTTTTCCTAGTGTTGCTGATGTTCTGAGACTCAAAGTATGTTTTTTCAAGAGAAATGCTGTTACACGATAATTTTTTCACATCTGGTTAAGAGAAGTTCGAATTAAATGTGATTTGTTTTCTAAACAATTTATTTTGGTCTACATAAGTTTCCCTTTATGTGTTTTGAAAGAAAAACTGAAAACTGGAATAAATTTATTTCTAAAAGAATATACTTAAACATATTTTATGAGTAAGTAGCCTAGTTAAACATTTTAAATTATGTATCACTAAGCAAAATTATGCCAGTAAATTAGGAAGCAGGCCTAAAATTTTGGGGAAAAAAGTTTCCTTTTTTTAAAATTGGATAAAATAATTATCAAGTTCAGAGAGAAAATAAATGTCTGAAAAAGCCAGGAAAATTATGAAAAAGTAAAATTTAAGGTGAAACTTGCCTTGCCACATGGTAAATCATACTATAAAACTGCTGTAATAAAAACAGTGTAGGGTATTTCCAAGGCATAAATAAATGGGTTATGCAACAGGAGAGAATCTAAAAATAAAGCCCAGTATACATTTATGGGAAGTTAATACATGAAATTTCTATTTAGGAAAAATTTCTGTTTCGTTTAAAAATTAGTGTAGCACAACTGGCATCCATCTAGAAAAAAAATTAAGTGGGTTCTTATTTTGTGCCATATATAAAAAATAAATTCAGATAAATTAAGTACCTAATTATTAAAAGAAAAAAAATTAGTTATCATCCAGAAAATGGGTGACTGTCAATAAAATATAAAGATTATCCATAAATTGTTATTAAAAAAGATCACCCAATAAACCCAATAAGTCAAATAGGCAAAGGATATGGATAGGCAGTTCACAAAAGAGGGACTCAAAATGGCTAATAAACATTAAAAAAAAAACAAAATTCTACCTCATTATTACTCAGAGAAATTAAAATAACAAAAAGTGATTACTGCTTATCTAATAGACTGGCAAAAATTTTAAACAGCAAAGTCATTAGGTGGCAGGGATAAAGAAAAGGACACTTTCAATTACAGCTGGTGGAAATGTAAATTGGTACAGCCAATTTGGAAAACAGGCATTAGCCCCAATTTAGAGAATCTATTTTATAGCAATAAAATCATAGTAGTATATACATAAAGGAGCCCTGGTGGCACTTAAGCACTTGGCTGCTAACCAGAGTTGGCGGTTCGAACCCACCCCGCGGTTCTGTGGGAGACTTTTTGATCTGCTTCTGTAAAGGTGGTTGTTGTTAGGTGCCAGCAAGTCACCTCTGACTCATAGCGACCCTGTGTAAAACAGAGCAGAACACCGCCTGGTCCTGCGCCATCCTCACAATTCTTGCTATGTTTGAGACCATTGTTGCAGCCACTGTGTCAATCTGTGTCATTGAGGGTCTTCCTCTTTTTTGCTGACCCTCTACTTTACTAAGCATGATGTCCTTCTCCAGGGACTGGTCCCTCCTAACAACATGTCCAAAGTACATGAGACTAAGTCTCACCGTCCTCGCTTCTAAGGAGCACCTGTAAAGATGACAGCCTAGAAAACCCTGTGGGGCAGTTCTTTTCTGTCACTTGGGGTCACTGTGAGTTGAAATAGATTCGATGGCATCGAACAACAACAGTATCTACATACATGTGTATGTAATTAATTGCAGCATTGTTTGTAGAAGCAGAAAAGTGGTAACAGTGAAAACTTATTAATAATTAAGTGGTTGAATAAATACCTGTTTCTCCATACCATGGCATATTATTTAGCTACTATAAAGAATGAGTTAGAGCTACACCCATTAACATGGAGGGAATACCATGAATTAACACAAAATGCAGGGAAAAAATCCGTGTATGTGTGTGTGTGTGTATGTGTATGTATGCATATAAAATGATATAAATACATAATGATATAAATATGGAGACAGGTATGAAAAGAAACATGGGTAATAGAAGAGGCAAAGATAAGGGAAATGTGATTATTAGAAATAAAAGCAAGTTTTTTTTTTAATCTGTGATTTAAGAATTAAAAACTAACTTTTTTCCAGGTGTTGTGATGTTCTGAGACTCAAAGTATGATTTAAAGAGAATTTATTCATGTTAAATTATGTATTTGTGTTTGTACATATGCATAGAGACATTAATGAAAATGTGACTACCCAAATAATAATAATGGTCATCTCTGGGTGATAGGATTTCAGGTGACTTATTTGTTCTAATTTTTCTTTTTTGTTTGAATTTATTAATAATGGATATGATTTAGTGTATAATCAGAAAAAGCATGATTGTATTGTAAAAAAAAAAGTCTGCTGCCAGTTAAAGCTTACCCTTTAAAAATAAACTTCCAAAATATGTAGCTTTATCATAAAAATATTTCCTTTCTATATTTTTATTCTTTATCCTTTTATTTTTTTTCTTCCCCATTCAGTGCAGCATTTGTAAAATATCTTGCTTTTTATGTATTTTTCCCATTTAAGTAAAACATTGATTTTTTTTTTTCCCTTACGTGCCAGGAAAAGTATGAATTAAAACATTACTTCAATTAGAGAGGATACCTTTGTAGTATAAAAGGACTGTAATCCATCCCATGAATGTGGAACAGAGGAGCTGGAAGGAGGGTAGGAAGGAGAAGCTGAACAGTTTACCAGCGCCTCTAAAATTAAGTCTTCACAGTGTAGTGAATTATTATTTTCTAAGTGTTTTGAAATCTCAACCAAGCAGCCATATTCAAAATAGCCCAAAAGAATCTTCCAATCTAAATATGTCATAATTACATTATTGTTACGCTTCTCTGTTTTTACTGAAAAGCACGAATTAAGTTTTTGGAAACTTTTTTTTTTTTTTCCCGTTTGTAGATTTTTGTAGCAATAGCTATATGCTGTAATACCCACATTTTTTAAAAAATGAGGTATCCCCCATACGTTTCAGTTATTTGGGAAACTCTTTTATCCCTTCAACAAAAATGTCTCGATTTTAGCAATTTTTTATGTGAATTTTCATGTGTACCTTTGTTTTGGATGTGACGGGTAGTGTGAGAGTATCTAGAGCGAAGGAGCATTAGGAAGTACGGATAAGCCAGCTGAAAATACGGGGGGAGGTGACTTACAGATTAACTTTGCTGTTACTGCCAAAACCTTTTAATTTTCCGTTAGTGGTAAAAATTAGTTGTTTAATACAGTATCATTATTTTCTTCCAAATATTACAGAAGAGATTAAAGCATAAGTACTCGATTACTTGTGTTGAACATTTTAAAGATGTATTTATGTTCCTAGATTATTCTTATTTTCTTTCTTCTTTTGTATTGAATCAGATTCGCTCAATTGAAGGCCAGTATGGCACACTTCAAGCCTATGTGACCCCAAGAATTCAACCCAAAACCTGTCAGGTCTGCCAGTACCAGATCAAACCCCTTTCACTTCATCAAAGAACTCACTTTATTGATCATGGCAGGTAGGACAAAGGAGAGAGCAGTTTATTTTTAGGATAGTACACAGTTCAGATAAATTGTTTTTTTACTTTTATAGTACACATTCTGGTAACCCCTTGCACACTTTAAAAAATCAATATTTTAAATACTATGGATTTAATATTTCTGATAAACAGAAGATTATCTGTGTTATTTCATAGGCTAGTTCGAGTTGGACTGTCCTTTCTTTCTCAGTGCTGTGAATGGTTAAGCCCTGAACTACTAGCTGAAAGGTTGGCAGTTGGAAACCACCCAGAGGCACTTGAGGAGACAGGCCTGGCAGTTTGCTGAAAACCCTGTGGGACGGTTCTACTCTGCACACACGGGATTACCACCACAGCAACCGTTCTGAGATCATTGAAATAGCAGTTGTATCTCTTAAACACCTACCTGAGTAAATAATGTCTAACATTTAGATCACTGAGTACTTTGTCAACAGGACCTTTTTGTGTTAGCCTCAAACTTTACATTCCCTTTCTGTTTCACCTCAAGGAATACTGTTAGAACAATTGGTTGTGATACTCTACCACACCCCTTGCTGTCTAGTCAATTCTCACTCACAGCAACCCTATAGGACAGAGTAAAAGTGCCCTATAGGGTTTCCAAGGCTGTAGTCTTTTAGGAAGCAGACTGCCACATCTTGCTCTCATGGGGCCACTCGTGAGTTCGAACTGCTGACCTTCGGTTGTGGTAGTCCCTGTGATATCTGAATTCCCTTCCAATTTAAGAATCCTGTTTGTAGTTTCTCTTTTTTTTTTTCTGAAGATGAGAGACCACTGACATAAATGGAAGGAAAAGGAAAGAAACTTAACAATTACTGAATGTTTTCTCTGTGCCAGATAATGATATATTATCATTTAATTTGTACAGCAAGACAGGTACTAATATCTCCATTTTACAAATGAGAAATGTAAACCCAGAAACGTATACGTATATAAGAGCTATGATTTGAGGCCAAGACTCATGTTCTTTCTATTGTAGTTTATAATTTAAAAAGGTGTGTAATTAGATGTAAGGAGGGAATCTTCCTAAGGAAAATTTCTGGAAAACATCAAAGAGAGAATAGATTCATTCGTTTTAGTGTATCTTCCTGCTTAGAAGTCAAGCTGGGTTAATGGAGGCAGCACGGTGTGGTGGAAAGAACAGCAAACTAGCAATCAGGAGACTTGAATTATAATCTTGTATCTGTTCCTTTGTGACTTGGGGAAATAATTCAGTCTTCTCTGGACCTTAGTTTTCTTATTTGCAAATGAGAAGGTTGGTCTGAATGATACCAGCTGTCCTAACTATGAGGTTCCTTAACTCTGTTGTTGCTGCTGTTAGGTGCCCTCCAGTCGTTCCGATTCATAGCGGCTGTGAGTGCAACAAAACAAAACACTGCCTGGTGCACCATCCTCACAATCATTGTTATGCTTGAACCCATTGTTGCGCCCACTGTGTCAGTTCATCTCGCTGAGGGTCTTCCTCTTTTTCGCTGACGCTTACTTTACCAAGCATGATGTCCTTCTCCAGGGATTGTCCCTCCTTATAACGTGTACAAAGTAGGTGAGATGAAATCTTGCCATTCTTGCTTCTAAGGAGCACTCGGCTGTATTTCTTCCAGGACAGATTTGTTCGTTCTTCTGGCAGTCCATGGTATATTCGATATTCTTTGCCAACACCATAATTCAAAGGCATCAATTCTTCTTCCGTCTTCTTTATTCATTGTCCAGTTTTCACATGTATATGAGGTGATTGAAAATACCATGGCTTGGGTCAGGCACACCGTAGTCCTTAAAGTGACATCTTTGCCTTTAACACTTTAAAGAGGTCTTTTGCAGCAGATTTGCCCATTGCAATACATCGTTTGATTTGTTGACTGCTGCTTCCATGGGCGTTGATTGTGGATCCAAGTAAAATGAAATCCTTGCCAACTTCAGTCTTTTTTCTGTTTATCATGATGTTACTTATTGGTCCAATTGTGAGGATTTTGTTTTCTCTGTGTTGAGATGAGATCCATACTGAAGGCTGTAGTCTTTGATCTTCTGTAAGTGCTTCAAGTCCTCTTCACTTTCAGCAAGCAAGGTTATGTCACCTCCATAACGCAGGTTCTTAATGAGTCCTCCTCCAGTCTTGATGCTGCATTCTTCTTCATAAGGTCTAGCTTCTTGGATTATGTGCTCAGCATACAGATTGAATAAGTATGGTGAAAGGATACAACCGTGACACACACCTTTCCTGACTTTAAACCACGCAGTATCCCCTTCTTCTGCTCTAACGATTGCCTCTCAGTCTATATAATTTGTTAAGATCCACACAGTAGAATGCCTTTGCATAGTCAATAAAACACAGGTAAACATCTTTCTGGTATTCTCTGCTTTCAGCCAAGATCCATCTGACATCAGCAGTGATATCCGTCATTCCATGTCCTCTTCTGAATCTGGCTTGAATTTCTGGGAGTTCCCTGCCAATGTACTGCAACTGTTTTTGAATGATTTTTAGCAAAATTTTACTTGTGTGTGATATTAATATTGTTTGATAATTTTCACATTTGGTTGGACCACCTTTCTTTGGAATGGGCACAAATATAGATCTCTTCCAGATGGTTGGCCAGGTAACTGTCTTCCAAATTTTTTGGCATAAACAAGTGAGGGCTTCCCATGCTGCATCCGTTTGTTGAAACATCTCAATTGGTATTCCGCCAATTTCTGGAGCCTTGTTTTCCGCCAATGCTTCAGTGCAGCTTGGACTTCTTCCTTCAATACCATCAGTTCTTGATCACATGCTGCCTCCTGAAATGGTTGAAAGTCGACCAGTTCTCTTTTGGTGCAGTGATTCTGTGTATTCCTTCCATCTTTTGGTACTTCCCCAGTCGTTCAGTATTTTCCCCGTAGAATCCTTCAGTATTTCAACTTGAGGCTTAAATTTTTTCTTCAGTTCTTTCAACTTGAGAAACGCTAAGCGTGTTCTTCTCTTTTGGTTTTCTATCTCCAGGTCTTTGCACATTTCATGATAATACTTTACTCTGTCTTCTTGATGTGCCCTTTGAAATCTTCCGTTTAGCTCTTTTACTTCATCATTTCTTCCATTTGCTTTAGCTACTCCACGTTCAAATGCAAGTTTCAGAGTCTTCTGACATCTATTTTGGTCTTTTCTTTATTCCTGTCTTTTTAATGACATCTTGCTTTCTTCATGTGTGATGTCCTTGCTGTCATTCCACAATTTGTCTGGTCTTTGGTCATTAGTGTTCAGTGCATCAGATCTATTCTTGAGATTGTCTCTAAATATAGGTGGGATATCTCAAGGTTGTATTTTGGCTCTGGTGGACTTGATCTAATTATCTTTAACTTGAATTTGCATATGAGCAGTGATGGTCTGTTCTGCAGTCAGCCCCTGGCCTTGTTCTGCCTGATGATATTGAGCGTCTCCATTGTCTCCTTCCACAGATGTAGTTGATTTGATTCCTGTGTATTCCATCTGGCAAGGTCCACGTGTATAGTTGCCTTTTATGTTGCTGAAAAAAGGTATTTGCAATGAAGATGTTTTTTGGTTTTGCAAAATTCTACCATTTGATCTCCAGCATCATTTCTGTCATCAAGGCTATATTTTCCAACTACTGATCCTTCTTTGTTTCCAACTTTTGCATTCCAGTCACCAGTAATTATCAGTGTGTTTTTATTGCAAGTTTGATCAATTTCAGACTGCAGAAGTTGGTAAAAATCGTCAATTTCTTCATCTTTGGTGTTAGTGGTGGGTGCGTAATTTTGAATAATAGTTGTATTAATTGGTCTTCTGTGTAGGCATATGGATATTATCCTATCACTGGCAGCGTTGTACTTCAGGATGGGTCTTGAAATGTTCATTCTGATGATGAATGCAACGCCATTCCTCTTCAATTTGTCATTCCTGGCGTAGTAGACCATATGATTATCTGATTCAAAATGGCCAATACCAGTCCATTTCAGCTCATAATGTCTAGGATATCAATCTTTATGCATTCCATTTCATTTTTGACAACTTCTAATTTTCCTAGATTCATACTTCGTACATTCCACATTCTGATTATTAATAGATATTTGCAGCTTTTTCTTCTCATTTTTAGTCCTTAGTTCTGTATCCTATTAAAGTTCCTTCTGAATCTTTAATTCTATAAAGTTTACGTTTTATTAATTCTGTATAATTATCCATTTGATTTGTTTTAAATATATGTAGGACAAGTTTTTTTTTTTTAATTTAAAAAAAAAATTTTAATTGTATGATTTTGCAGGATAGGATGTATTAACCCGTATTCCTTCAAGATAAGAAAGTAGTATTTCCTAACTTGCCCAATGGTACACAGCTAGTAAATAGTGGAGCAGGGTTTCCAATCCATGTCTGTCTTACTCCAGAGCCTCACCCGTTGCCTTCACACTAGGTTGATTCTTTTCTTAAGGAGACTCTTGTGTGAGAATGTTTTATAGTTTATATAGAAGTACTAGCTGAACTTTTCAAAAATGAAATCTACCCAAGTAAATTGGGTTTTATTTGTAAAACGTGTTATAATGGAAAAAAAAAAAAGTATTTATGCCACTCTACTAAATAGTAGGACACCTAGCACAAAGCATGTAAATTTTTTTATTAAATGGAAATGTTCCTTTACTTAGTGTGTAAGATTAATCTGAGAAAAATTAAATGAGTGCTTTCATATTTGTTTAGCTACTATTGTAAAATTCTACTTGTTCATGTGTTGTATATATAGTCTATATCCACATATTCTTATACACAAATGTGTGCTCTGTTACTAAATTACAGACCCATGAATACATTGACTCTAACAGGCCAGTTCAGTTTTGCTGAAGTTCACTCCTGGGTGGTTTTTTGCCTTCCTGAAGTTCCTGAAAAACCTCCAGCAGAAGAATGTGTGACATTTTACTTTCAGAACACCTTCCTGGATACACAACTTGAAAGTACCTACAGGTAAGTCGTACTTATTACTGGTTCACAACTGTTGTTTTTATATAAGTAAATGGAGCTTCTAGGTTTTCATTTGCTTTAAGTTTAAGGCAGGAATAATTTGAAAATAATATGATTGAAAACCTAGACCATTCAAGAGAATCTATTGAAAAACAAGTAGAATGAGTTTAGAAAAATGATTCAATAAAGATGAATATGGAGAGATCAATACCTTTCCTAATTTTTCAGCAATAACCAGTTAGAAAATACATTGTTTAAAAAGAGTCATTTCAGAATAGCAATAACAATTAGAAAATAGCCACATAAAATCCAGAGGAATATTCTTAATTATATATTCTTAATTATATATAGAGAACTTAAGTGAAGAAAGCTGTAAATTTGATTGACATAAAAGACTTGATTAAATGGAGTAATATAGTCTATAGTCATCAATATGAAGACATTGTAAAGATGTCAGTCCTTGTCAGATTGATTTGAACATTTGTCCTAATTCCAAAATGTATTCCAATTGAATTTCTTTATGCAAAAATATGAAATAAATTAAATTTCAGAGGACCAGGCAGGCTTTTGAGGTTATCATGTTACAGTGTGGAGGACACTTCTCAGGATCCCAGCTGCACTCCTTCCCACTTCCTACTTGCTTAGCGGTCATCTCCTATGAGCTCCATAAAACCCAAAAAATCAAACCCACTGCTGTCAAGTCAGTTTTGACTCATAGCAACCGTACAGGACAGAGTAGAACTGTCCCATAGGGTTTCCAAGGAGTGGCTGGTGGATTTGAACTGCCGACCTTTTGGTTGGCAGCCGAGCTCTTAAACCACTGCGTCACCAGGGCTCCGTGGGCTCCATAGTTTCTCTATTTCTGAATACAGTAGAGGCTGAACTTCTCCTTCTCCTTTGTTCCTATCTCTGAAAGTGAATTAGTCTAGCAAGACTGATTTCTCTGTCTGCTCTTTGAGCTTATACCCTCATTCTTCAAGGTCTTTGCATTCTTATTTCTCTCCCATGTTTAATTTAGGTTGTTTGTTTTGGTGGTGGAGGACTTCTTATCCTCTCTTTGCCTTTGCTTCCTAGGGATTCTTTCCCTAAACAGATTACTGAGGTATTCTACTTCTGTGCTTCCACCACTGAGTTCTAGAAACAGCAGTGAACACATAATCTTACCTGAGAATGAAGCCTTTTAAGACCAAGAACCCTCCAGAAATCTAACCACTTTTAGTCTAAGTTCTGTAGAGGTACCCTCCAGGCGAGCTTATCTGTGCCTAAATCTGTAAGTTAGTCCTGTTTTGAAATACCACCATGCCATGAACATCATACTTTAATCACAGCAGACAATGTGGCATGCTCCTAGCACATTATATATTTTTATAATTGCAGACTTTTGCTCTTTGCTCTCTGTGTCCTTAACTATTCTTTAACAGTCAAAAGTACTTATTCTGAAAGACCCAACTCAATAGCTGGGTTTTGAAGCCTTGTTTGATTCTCTTCTCTGTTCCCATAGCATTTTATTTTGACTTGTTCTGGTATTTATTGTTATATGGTGGCACAGTGGTTAAGTGCTCAGCTACGAGTTGAAAGGTCAGCGGTTCGAACCTACCAACTGCTTCACAGGAGAAAGACCTAGAGATCTGCTTCTGTAAAGATTACAGCCTATAAAACCCTGCGGGGCAGTTCTACTCTGTCACATGGGGCCACTATGAGTCGAAAAATTGACTTAAGAGCACCTAACAACAATAACAAGCTTGAAGTTTATAATTTTTATGTATGCTTGTCTCTTTAAATTAACTGTAAGTTCTCGTGAGCAGTGTCTATTTCTTAGTTATCTTTGTGTCCTCCAAGTACTTAACACATGGCTTTGCACGTAGTAGGTGTTCAATAATAGTTTTTTGGGTGCCTAAATAAAATACATACATATGGAGGGTAGTATAGAGGCATGTGCTTTGGAGGCAGATATACTTAGGTTTGAATGTTGGCCGTGTCACTTACCAGCTGTATGATCTTAGCTAAGTTACTTAACTCTCTGAGTTTTGCTTTTCTTTCTAAGGAATAGAAATAATTGAATTGTTGTGATTAAAATAAACGTTGTACACCATTAATAAATAACTTCTGTTAACAGATTAAAGACTAGAGACAAAGCTCATGATTTCTAAGACATAATTGGGAGTGAAATAGTAAGGGTGTGTTAATTCAGCCTTCTAGAAAAAAAATGTAATGTCTGTAGCTAGTAAATAAAATTATTTCTGTTTGAAAACCAAATAAAAAGTCAACATTGAATATAGGAAAAATGCTATATATTAATTAGGAAACTTCTGGTCACATAAAAAGAAACAAATTAAAGCAGACTTAACCAAAAAAAAAAAAAAAAAAAGGAATTTATTGGTTCACATAATGGGGTAATCAGCCTCAGGTACAACTTGATCCAGTGGCTTAACTGATACCATCAGGCCTTTGTCCCTTTCCATTGCCCAGCTCTCCTCTGTCTTTGTTGGCTTTTCCACGTAGCGGCATGGTGGTCACAGGAGCTACATCCAGCCTTGTATCTTTTCAGCTGCTCTAGAGCCTCTCTTTCCTGATACTTCCAGTAGAAGCCTCAGGATTGAGTATCACTGCCCAGCTCTGACCACTGTAGTCAGGAGGGTAGAATACACTGCCAAATGGCTCCTTCTGAAGTCCTAGAAATGAGGTTGAGGCCAGTTCCACTGAAACCATATGGAATTGAGAAGGGGGAGAGAAAGAGAAGGAAGTTTCTCAAAGAAAAATATAGCTCCTATGACTGTAAGAAGTGGCAGTGTATGCTGGCTATAGAAGAACAGCAGATGTTACTCTTTCAGGTTTGATTTCATATTTCCTTTGTAACGATGAAGCATATAGTCATGTTGTAATTTATGTGACTACAACAGAAAAGTACAGACTTACTTATGTGTAAGTAAATCATTCATTCTAAATGAATTATACTGAAGGGATTAGCTTTTGTAAATGTTAGTAGTGAAAATAAAGAACAAAACTTTAAGTGAAGAACATAAAAATTGTCCTATCTTTAGGAGGCATATAGCTAGCATCTTTTGTTTAGCTTTATGAGTAGGTTCAGAGCCTGAGTTAATATAGTAACAGTAAAAGGTTACTTGTTTAAATAAGCTTTACATTAACAATTTTACATATATATATATAGAGAGAGAAAAATCTAAAATGAAATCTGAACACTAGGTTCTGGTCACAAAATATGTATTTACTGGACTACTTTCTAAAGCTCTTCTTTAAAAAAATATATATTAATTTTATAGAAAAGGAGAAGGAGTTTTTAAATCTGACAACATTTCTACTATATCCATCCTAAAAGATGTGCTCTCTAAAGAAGCTACAAAAAGGAAAATTAACCTCAACATAGCATACGGTAAAAAGAAAAGAAAAACTAATCATTCTTTCTGCTTTTTTGTTGTTATAATAAGAATGTTTCTGTGACTAATTGTCCTGGCTCACCTCCTTCTAGAGATAAATGAAGTATCAGTCAAACACACTTTAAAGCTAATTCACCCAAAACTGGAGTACCAGTTGCTTTTGGCTAAGAAAGTGCAGTTAATTGATGCTTTAAAGGTAAGCATGTGTATCATGGACTCATGATCATTATTGTGATGGAATTTCTAAAATTGTAAATACTTTACTAGTACACTTAGAGTGAATTTCGAACATTAAGGTGCTTCTGTTTGTTTGTTTTTTTAATTTTAAATAAGGAATTGCAGGTTCATGAGGGAAATACAAACTTTCTGATACCAGAATATCGCTGTATTCTAGAAGAGGCAGATCACCTGCAGGAAGAATACAAAAAACAACCTGCACATCTTGAAAGGCTCTATGGTTAGTGGGCTCGTCTATAATACCTTGCTATATATCTTTTTTCAACTGGCTGTTTGCGAAGGAGCATGTGAAACTGGGGAGAAAGAGACACACGAAGATTGCAGCAGTCATGAAATTAGTGAAAACCAATTCATAGCACTATAGCAATAGTTCTATATTTTGTCGAGTTAGTTTTAATATTTAATATTTTTACTTGATAAAATTTAAGTAAAAATTAAGACATGAAATAAGTATACTGTGATGAATTAATTTATATATAAGAAGAAACAGTATAAAATGAATATAGGCTATAAAGCATTAGAATTTAGGCCATATATTACATAAATATTTTTCAGGTTTTGTGACTATTATGAAATACCAACATGGAGCATTTAATGTTTTTAAGGCAAAATTTAATAAGGGATACATATATGTATATGTGTATATGTACATGGCATAGTGGTTAAGAGCTTGGCTGCTAACCAAAAGGTTGGCAGTTCGAATCCACCAGCCACTCCTTGGAAACCCTGTGGGGCAGCTCTCTGTCCTGTATGGTCGCTATGAGTCGGAACAGACTCGACGGCAATGGGTTTTGGTTTATACACACACACACACACACACACACACACGCACGTATATATACATATATATACATGCACACCTTGTCAGTTTACAGTTCAGAACTCATTTTGCTTTGGTGGTGAGAAGTTGGGTATTTCGCAAAGTGAAATAAGAGAGAAAATGAGAGGCTGGTTGAGGGGAGGGCGGAAGGAAGGAATAGCTTTGAAAAACAGGGTTGTTAGTTATTTTTACACAAAACCTGTTGTGCATGTTGTTGTTAGGTGCCCTTGAGTTGATTTCGCCTCATAGCAACCCCACGTGGCAGAGCAGACTCGCCCCTAGGGTCTCCTAAGCTGTAACGTACGGAAACAGATCTCTGGGTCTTTCTCCCACAGGGCCACTGGGTGGGTCTGAACCACCGACCTTTTGGTTTGTGCCACCAGGGCTCTGTTACGGTTCGTGTTGTTGCCGTCGTGTGCCATCTAGTCAATTCTGACTCCGAGTGACCCAGTGTGATAGAGTAGAACAGCCCCATAGGGTTTCCTAGGCTGTAACCTTTATGAGAGCAGATTGCC